ATAGAAATCCTGCCATCTGCAGAAAAGAAATATGAAAGATGGTGTTAGGACCCTATCCAAATTTAAGTTCTGAATTTTCATTATGACTACTTATGTCAAACACAACCTAACATATGGCCAATCCTAATGTACAGCTGCATATTACTCTCCCACAACAGACTGAATCAGGTAGTTAAAGGGGCAATTGCGTGTTCTGCAGCAATGACAGAGGCCTTCTTATCTCACTGCACTCAGCCCAGAGAGGAACACAAGGTCATATGAAAGGACAAGATACATGCCCCATAACAAACATCTTCCTAAATTTGTTTTTTATTTTTCTTTCCTTCCTCTTCTGCTTCTTCTATTCATTTAAATCCCCATCCCCACCTCCCTCCAGTTTTTCCTTTCTCCTATACAAGAATTAACCTTGGCAGCGCCATTCAAGGTTAGCTCAATGTCGATGGCAGGATAATATTTTAAAACAAGAGAATACATACATGCATACATACACTTTTTAAGTTTTATTCTAAATGCTTTAGAGTCAGACTTCTAAACTGGGGTCCACAAGAAGGGAAGTGTATTCCACAGACGGGTTATGGAGAATCCAATGAGTACCCTGAAATTATATGAAAAATACTGTATGAAACCATAGTTTTAAAACCAGATTCTCAGCCAGTTTCGGTGATGCATGCCTCTAATTCAGTGCATGAGACTGAGGCAGGAGGACCACGACTTCAAAGCCGGCTTCAATAACTTAGTGAAGCCCCTAAGCAACTTAGTGAGAACCTTTCCCTAAATATAAAAAGGGCTGGTGATGTGGCTCTGTGGTTAAGGAGCTCCCTGGGTTCAATCCCCAGTACTAAAAACAAAAAGCAGATTCTCAGATGTGTGACAAGAATAATATTCAGAATCAATTTTCATTTATTGAGCATCTACTATGTACTATATTGGATCCTTCTGCATGACTTTTAAATCTTCAACAATTTTACCAGGTGATAAGAGGATTAAGCAAGCTTTTTGTTTCTTTCCATTAAAATATTTATAGATGATATGAAAAATGAGCTTATAGTTTTAGGTTACTAGTCTCCATCTTGTCTGAACATTAGACTCTCCTAAGGAGCTACTTTTGAAAATCCCCAAATCCAGGCTATACTCAAGGGCAACTGAATCAGGCCTCTAATTTTCCAAGCTGTCCAGGTGATTCCAATATGCAGTCAGGGCTGAAAACCTGTACTTCCCTTCAACAGTTCTCATGACCTAGCACACTAGACTTCAGCTGCTTAAGTTGCCAGTGGGCCCTAATTCCCTAATTCTGGTCCCTAAATTCCATTTTCTACTGATTCCATCCCCTCATCATCCGAGGCCCAATCCAAAAGCCCTTATTCCACTCAGCACTTTCCAGACACCATGTCTTTCTTTAAAATGCAAATATTATGACATTGTCACATCCCACCTGATGTTACAGTAGCTGATGAATTTGCACTTCCTCTCCTACTAGTCTGTAAAGGGAGAAGACCAAATCTTTCATCTGTGTATTATTCTCGTCATCTAGTAGTGCTTTGCATTAAACACTGGAAAATTATAAATGGATCGGGGTGATACGCAGTGTACTGGAACTAGGGGATCTAGGGGCATGGTGTTCAGTGACCACCCTGCCACATCCCACTAGAAGCAGGAAGTTGGGTCAGTCGTCACAATAACATTAAGAACAGTAACAATCAGTGAACTCTCACCGTGTCAGGCGTTGTGCTAAGCCCTTTCAATGCATTAACTGATGCTGAGTTCCACAACCACATGAAGCAAGTCCTATTACTATATCCATTACACAAATAAGAAAAATGACAGCGTAGGTTGACTTTCTGGCCCAAGGTCACACAGTTACTAAAGAACTAAATCTGGATTCACAACGCCCGATTTCTTCATCTGTAACACGGGAGCAACAAGAAACCCTGGCGCCAACAGACAAGAGATAATTCAAAGTTTAATATTAGTTGTGGCAAACCGGAAACCGCTACAGTAGTGAGGGAAGCCCCTCCTCCGCCGGCTTTCCCTACAGCCTCAAAAATGCTACTCATTCTTCCAGGTCACAGCGTGCAGACTCCAGCCCTGCAGCCAGCCCCGCTCCGGGCTCAGCGGGTCGCTGCCGGTGTCCACTGCGGGCCACCCGGCGTGCAGAGCTGTTTGTGCAACTCAGCAACTACCCGAGGCAGGCCCAAGCCGAGCTGCCTGCCCAGGGCCAGAAAAAGAGCGCGCTGTGTGGCCGGGCGCGGAGAGGGCCCGCCCAGGGCGTCCCGAAGGAGCAGGGCCTGGACCTTCCTCTTCCTCCTAAGCGTCCCAGTGGGCGCCGGGCCAGGCTGCCGGGTCCCAGGTCTGCGAGCCTCGGGCCGGCTGAACAGGCCCGGCCCGGCCACCAGTCTCTGCCTCGCGCGCCCAGAGCGCGGTCCCCTCCGTACCTTCCGGCCGCCCCGCCGTGCCGGGCCCGATAGTTCCGCTCTCCGCCCTTGCCCGGGGCCCCCGCACCACCACTCGCCGGCCAGGCCTAGAGACGCCCAGCTCAACCAGCGCACCGCCTCTTCCGTTTTTAGAGCTGTCAGCTGAGCGGGGCGGATACGGCAGGGCGGCAGCCGGCGTGGGGACTGCTCTGCGCAGCCTCCGGGACCGTCCCGGTTTCCTGTGCGCCCTCCGCAGGCCATAGGCGGCGCTGCAGGCGAGCCAGCCGTTCCCACCACCACCTCGTGTGCTTCTAGAGTCGATACAAATGCAGGTTCGGGGGACATCTTAGTTAGGGGACTCCTTTCAGTAGTTGTGGTTGGGGGCCGTGAATTAGAATGTTTACCAATTCCTTGACATGAACTCCAGTCCTTGGTCCACTTGGGGTAGAGTCCCATAGCAATACTAGACCTGCGCCTCCAGGAGGACTAGGCAAGCCTCCCACCCACCCAACTACCTTCTGAGAATAGCTGCCCATCTTTCTCGCACCTGCAGTATGAAAGCATTGACTTGTTGCTCATTACAGTGCTAACTACCACATTTATTAAGCAGTTGAATGCTTCAAGCATCGTATGGTTTTATGTACATTTTCTCCACATTTAAACTTTTTTGATTTAAGTATCATTTGTTATTCTCACTTTACAAAGGAGAAAATTGAGATTCAGATTCAACAACTTAACAAAGGCCACATGATTATTTAGATATGAGCAGGAGTTAAAATTGCATGCTTCCTATCTCATTCTATAATATAAAAACTAAAAATGAATCAAAGGTCTAAATGTGAGGACATTTAAAATTATTAGAAAAATATAATAAGTGTTTATGAACTTGGATTAAGCAAAAGTTCCTTTTTTCCTTTGAAGTACTGAGGATTGAACTTTTATGCTGAGCTACATCCCCAGCCTTATTTATTTATTTATTTATTTGTTTGTTTATTTTTTATTTAGGCAGTGATGGTGATTGACCAGAGGATTTTGTGCAAACTAGGCAAATGCTTTACCACTGAGCTACACTCCCAACCTGTATTTTTTTTTTTTTTTTGAGACAGACTCTTGCTAAATTCTGAGGCTGTCCTTGAACTTGTCCTTCTGCTTCAGCCTCCCAACTTGCTGGGATATCAGGTGTGAGCCACTGTGCCCAACAGGCAGTAGTTTCTTTTACAGGACACAAAAAGCACAAGCAATAAAAGGAAAAAAAAATAGATAGAGTGGATTTATCAAAATTAAAAACTTTGTGCTTCAAAGGACAACACCAAGAAAGTGAAAAGACAAACCACAGAAAATATTTGCAAATCATATATCTAATAAAAATTAGTTATCTAAAACATCTAAAGAACTCTAGCAACTGAACAATAGAAAAATGGACAAAGGATCTGATTAGGTACTTTCCTAATGAAGATATGTACATGGTCAGTAAACGCCTGACAGATGTTCAACATCGATAATTATCATGAGGAACCTCTTCACACCCACGAAGATGATTGTAATAAAAATAACAGGAATTGGTGAGGATGTAGAGGAATTGGAACTTTCATTTACTGTTAATTGGAATGTAAAATGGTACAGCCACTTTGGAAAATAGTTTGGTAGGTCCTCAAGAAATTAAGAGTAGAGTTAAAATGAAACTCAGAAATTCTACTCCTAGATATATACCGAAGAGAATTGAAAAATGCATACTGTACATGAATATTCATAGCAGTAATATTCACAAAACTGAAAAAGTGGAAACAACCCAAACTTCCATCAATGAATGGATGGATGAACAAAATGTGGTATATCCATACAGTGAAATACTATTTAGCAATAAAAAAGTAGTACTGATAGTTGATTTGTTATGGTTTGAATCTGGAATGTCCTTCAAAGGCTCATATGTTAAAGGATTGGTCCCCAGTGCAGTGATATTCACAGGTGGGGATTTGGGAAAGTGATGGAAGCCGGGCTCGATGGTGAACACCTGTAATTGCAGTGGCTCTGGGAGGCTGAGGCATGAGGATCATGAGTTCAAAGCCAACCTCAGCAATGGGGAGGCGCTAAGCAACTCAGTGAGACCCTGTCTCTAACCCTGTCCTTCCTGGGCTGGAGATGTGGCTCAGTGGTCGAGTGCCCCTGAGTCATTGGATCAATTCATTAATGTTATTTATACCTGAATGAACTATTAGGAAGTGATGGAAACTATAGGAAGTGGAACCTAGTTAGAGAAAGTGAGTCCTTAGGGGCATTCTGTAGGGGACTATATCATATCTCCAGCCAGTTAGTTGGTCTCTCTCTGCTTCCCACCTGCTGGGCAGTTTTCCTCTGCCACGGCTCCTTCCAGCCATGGTGCTCTACCTAGTCTCAGGCCCAAAGCAATGGAGCCAACCCACCATAGACTAAAACTTCTGAAACTGTAAGCCAAAATAAATATTTCCTCCTTTAAGTGGGTTTTCTCAAGTTTTCTGTCATAATGATGAAAAGCTGACCAACACATGCTTCAACATGAATAGAATCTTAAAAACATTGTCAAGTGAAATAAGTCACACAAAAGGCCACATATTGTATTTTTCCATTTATATGAACTGTCCAGAATCGGCAAATTCATGGAGACAGAAAGTAGATTAGTAGTTGCCATGGGCTAAAACAGAAGGAAATGGGAAGTGACTATTGATGGGTATTTTGAAGAGGGATAAAAACATTGTGGAATTAAGAGAACAGTGACGGTTGCATAACTTTGTGGATGTATTAGATATCACTGGATTGTACACCTTGTGGTGTGTGAGATACTGGGGATCGAATCCAAGTGTTTGCTAGGTGATCACACTTATAACTGAGATGCAGCCCCACATCCCTTTTTTTTTTTTATCTTTTTTTGAGACAACAGTCTCTAACTTGTGCAGGCTGGCCTCAAATTTGTGATCCTCCTGCCTCAACCACCCAAATAGCTGGATGGTTGAGGCAGCATCTGGATTATACATTTTAGAAGGTTTAATTTTATCATCTGTGAATTGTATCCCAATTAAAAATTATTTTAGGTTTGAAGCACTGTTCTCAGTATTTAAAAGGAATACAGATCTGTTAGCTCCTACTCCTGGGAACCATCAAACTAATGTGCCTCTGATGATCTAATGAGCTCCTGTGTCTTGCTCATTCTATATTTCTTGCTCCCCAAAAGTTAATAGCAGAGCTTGGACTCTGATCCAAGTTCATAAGATTCAAAAGCTCTTATCCACCTGCCTCCCAGGCAGGACTGGCTTCGCAGGCCACAACCCCTGCAGTCACACAAGACTGCACTGAGAAGGGTCCCAGACTTAGAAGGGCTTCTGATTTGATTTGATGCTATGATGTTGCCATCTTGAAATTCTTAGTAATTTTTTAACAAGAAGTTCTGCATTTTAATCTTTCCTTGGAATCTGAAATTTACGTAGTTGTTTCTGTACCCAAGAGAAAGGAAAAACAAGTGGGTATATCAGAGTACCCAAAGGGCTTACTGGCTATAACCTAGAGAAAACTTGAAATACCAATAATCACTCCTAACTTTCTGTCTACAAATCTTGATTGTCAGAAAACAAAAACCTGACTATACCAAACCAAACCAAAACATGTCTTAAAAAAATGCAAAGGAAAAAAGCAGAATCTCCAAAACTATTCACCAATGTCACTATTCACATTTAGCCATAGGAGCAAAACGCATGACAACTCTACCTCAGGGTGCTCAGACTAGAGACGAGACACCTCCCAGAGATGCAAAAAATGAGGAGGCCCAAGAACCAGCTCAGGAAATTCTCACAAAGTTGTAGCAGAAGGTAAATTATGACATCATGTCATGATCTCATGTCAAAGGTCACAAGAAAGAAAAGGAGAGCATTTCAGAGTAGGGTTAATAGTTTCGTGGATGTTAAAAGTCAAATATTTAGAATCTAGTTTTGAATAAAGAATTGGATAAAAAGAGTCTTTTAATAATTTTGCCTTTAGACTCCATGAAAATAACTGACTTTAGTGACTTTTATTTTGTAGGTGTGGTAAGTCTTTTCCAATGAGCTTTTCCCTCATACCCAACCTGGGACTGTGTTAAACACTTTACATGCATTGTCTCATTTAAAAAAATGCTTAGGACCCCCACATCTTAGGTAATTTTGTCTTCCTATTTTACAAAGAGGAAATTGAGGCCCTAAGGATGAAGTTATTTGACCAGTGTCACAAAATGGTGGACCAGGGTTAGGACCCATGACTCATCAGTCTCTCTCCAGTAGTCTATAAGACAATTAAGAAGTTACAATTTGCTATAACAAATACAGACAACACAAAACAGTTCTGGCCTAAGAGCTATAAGAGAAGGTCCTGAAGAAGTTAGTATTAGAGTTTAGGACATAATGTGAATATAGTGAGGCAGAAGAAGAGACCCAGCTCTATCTCCTGTTCCCAGATGATGGCGCCTAGGTCTAGGAGAGGGTGGAGTGTGTGACCTAGACCAGAGGTTCAGACATAGGCCATTAAGTGGACACAAGCTTTCCACCATCAGAGATTGTGCGGGGACTTTGCTGAGCTTCTCCTACCTTCCCAGTGGGCACAGCCTCCTTTCTGAGAGCCACCATGCACAAAGCACTCCTGAGTCAAGCCCTTGACATATGGAGGAGCAGCAGTATGGAGAGGAAGCCCTGGCTCAGCTCCTAGGGAGGACTGAATGGTGGTGAGTCCCACCTAGTACCAAAGTGTCGCTGAATTCTTGCTGATCAACTATCATTGTTTATTTGCTCATCATTTAGATCTTAAAAGTCTACATTCATGTGGGAATCTAAAAAGTTGGTTGTTTTTAAATGGAGACTTTATCCTAAAAAAACAGAAAACTTAGGAGCTATCTATACTACAAGTGCAATTGTAAATAACAGAGTGCTACCATGCCTTACTTAGAGTTCTGCTCTAAGTGCTGTGTATTGACTAAGCTAAATCTTACAGCAACCCCATAACATAGTTACCATCATCATCATCATCATCATCATCATCATCATCATCATCACTATCATCACCATTCCTAATTTAAAGCTAGGGAAAATAATCATGGAGAAATTAACTGGTCTGCCCTTGTCACACAGATGGTCAATTACAGATCCAAGCTGTGAACCCAGGCAATTGGAGGCCTGAGCCCACATCATTAACCCTAACGCTATGCTTGAACCAAGCCAATGCTTTCTCAAGGAAAATGGTCAGTTGGGTCTGTAAGGAGAAATAGCCAAATCATTGTGTGACCAACTTCCCTGGTCAGTGCAGCCCAAATAACATGGGTCATCCCAGGGTTCTATAAAGACAGACTCTTACAAAGGCTTGAGGTTGCTGACAGTAGAAGATGTCTTCTGTGCTTCTTTACCTGCAAGGTAAAATTTGATTTACAATAATAGGCACAGAATGATCATGTTTATACTTGCAACCTGGCATTTTATTATTATTCCCCTGAATAACAGTGAAAAGAGTTTTGTAACCCCAAGGTAACATGGCTCTGTGAGAAGGAAAGAGAGGTGAGATTTAGCAGCAGCTGCCATCATAAATCAGTGTGTGGCTGTTTCTCTCAGAGCTCCGGGCTCAACTCTTGGCTGTCATAAACTTGTAAAGGGAAGCCCCGTGAGAATTTATGTAACGATGGGAAGACTCATTTTCCTTCCTGTAAGAGCCCTTCGGAAGCAAGGAGAGAATTAGGCTGATTAAATTCTATATGAAGGAAAGAAAACAAAACAAAAACCAGTGGTGTAGAGGAAGGGAAAATATGGGTCAACTTGAGCTACTTCTCTTGCCAACAAAACTGACCTTGTAAACAGAGAAGAACATGCTGAATTCCACCAAATAAATGAGTGACTGGATGACCGAATGATTTAATGACTGAGTGTGATCCCGGTTTCCTCCTGGTGGTTCTTTCAGTGTGAGAACAGTTCGATCCTGGAGTGACCCAGAAATGCTGAGTACATAACAAGGCCAATCAACAGAGTCAGCTTCTGAATATTCATGAACAGATGATGCACCCAGTCAATATGTTTGATTTTTTTGTATGTGTTTACTGATACATTTTCAAATTCACTGTGGAACCCAAAATTCTGAAGAAAAAAAAAAGAGAGAGAAGAAAGAAAGAAATTTGTGTTAAGAACATTGGTTATTTCTGAAAACAGTTGTCAAATAAAAATACTTTTACCAAAAAAGTACTTGTTGTTTACCTGTAATTCAAATTTAACTAGGTGTCCTGAATATTTATTGGCCAAATCTGGCAACTTCTATCTGGGCCAATAACTTAAGTAGAAGAGAGAGCTGAGGTCAGTATCTGGGAGAAGTGCCTGCACCTGGGAGTCAAAAGAAAGGGAAACTAAAGGAGTCCAAGAAGTAGACAGAAGAATGTGCAGACATATGGAGACAGAACCAGGTAAGTGATGAGCTGTGACACGGCTGTTAGGGAGAGGTGGGATCCAGGAGGATGCTGGGAAAGGAAGCATCCAGCTTCCTTATAGAGCTATGGAATTAGTGTATTGGTCAACTTTCTGCCTGTAACAAAATATGTGAGAAAATCAACTTAAAGGGAGAAAGATTTGTTTTGGCTCATAGTTTCAGAGGTTTGGCTAACTCCATTGTTTCTGGGTCAATGGTGAGGCAATATATCATGGCGGAAGGGTGTGGTAGAATAAGGCTGTTCACATCATGGTGGCCAGGAAGGAGGTGGGTGGTGCCAGGGGCTCAGCACAAGATATAATCCTCTCAAGGACCCACCCCTTCTTACAGTGCCAATCACCTTCCATAGTACATTCAAGTGTGAATCCATTAATGGATTAATCCACTGATGAGTTTAGAGCCCTCATGATCCAGTCACCTTCCCAAATACCCACCTCTGAACATTGTTGTATTGGGAACCAATCCTTCAACACATGAGTACTTGGAGGACATTTCAGATCCAAACCATAGTAGTTGGCTCTAGAGTTTGGTCCTTACAAGTTTGCTGGTGCTTCTGAAAATTTCTAATCAAGGTTCTCAATGAGGTTGGAGAGGAGATAGATTGCATGTCTGAATGGCCTGGAATGTATCAGAATAAAATCTGAGGATTGGGTAAGAACTCATGTGGTCCAATTTTGGAGTCATGTTATAGTTACCAAGGCACAAAATAAGTTTGGACGACAAAACCAATCTTTTCTTGCATTCTTGAAAATCAGGAAGGAGGTCTGTAGTTTGTAACAATTCATTCTAAAGCCCTTGCCTTCTCCGGTCTACGTTCTTCCCAGCCTCTTTTGTTCTCTAGTGCAGTCCTCTTTGTAATTTCCTCAACTTTCAGCAACCCCCCTCCTCCCATCTAGCTATAATTTTATTATATAGACCAACTAAGCGCTCTTTCCAGTAAAAAGATCTAACCAACTTCCCCAATCCTGCCCCAAATGATCTGAAAGATGAAGCATTTTAGAAGGAGGTTAAATTGTGCTGGAAATTATAGAATACTCTGGCAGATTGGGAGAGGGAGAAGTATGAATTTTCTTGTCCTATCCCTGGTATTTTGCAAATTGAGAACTGCCACTCTTAAGACATAAGCCCTTTTCTTTTCTTGAATATTTCTATTGCTTGGCTAGTTTCTCCTTGGAAAATGCATACTTCTTTGTGCACTGGACCCAGAAAGAGGTGTCATTGTATGTGAGCAAACATCTATCATCTGTCCCAACAAAATCCACAAAGTGCTGTGACTGGAGCTGGTAACCAGCTGGTGATCCAGAACATCTAGCTGAGTCCCCTGTGTCAAGATTCCTGGCCCTGCCACACAGGATGGTGCATGCCTATAATCCCAGTGGCTTAGAAGGCTGAGGCAGGAGGACCACAAGTTTGAGGCCAACCTCAGCAATTTAGTGAGACTAGGTAAAAGCACCCACGATACAGCCTTGGCAATTTATCGAGACCCTGTCTCAAAATTTTAAAAATAAAATAAAATAATAAGTGATGGAGATGTGGGTGTGGCTAAGTGGTAAAGTGCCCCTGGGCTCAATCCCCAATACAAAAAAAAAAAAAAAAAGATTCTTGGCTTTAACTTCAATAAGATCTTTCTGAAAAAGCAGGCTGATTTTTGGATGGTACAGCCACCTACCGGACTAGAATGACAATGCTTCTTGGCTAAATCAGAGCTGCCTTGTATGGTGCAGTGGCAGCTGCTGAGCAAATTCATGAATCTGTCCAGAAGACCCGATCTCTGAGAGTGGGCAGCCAGCCCAGCAGGACCTCAGCCTTCATAGCTGGCTCGTGAGGCCCCAAAGGGCAGAGTCCCACACTACTGGTGTGACCCCTTGAGGTTGCTCAAGACTCAAGAATTTTGAAAAGATCCTGTGAACTTCACCATTCCCACTCCACCCCTTGGCCCCTCCCTGTGACCAAGGGGTCACATGTGAGCAGCTTCAAGTTGGTGGTGAGCAAGGCCTCTGGAGACCAACCTCAATTCTGCCCTCTTTTTAAAAATATTTTGGACTTAAGGGAGGCTGTCCTTAGTTGTTTCAAATCTGTTTGAGACTGCTACTCCTGCCCTTTCAAACCTCTTTTCAAAACTCATGGAAATGAACCTTTTACAGACAAACTAGTGACAACTCCATTCAGCCAGACACAAGGAGAGAAAATGACTAAACAGGACCTCAATCCCAGAGGCCTATAAAAAGTCTGATGCCTTTTTGCTAGCTGTGGAATCTTTTACAATTTTTTTTCTTAAAAGAGAGAGTGAGATGGGGGGGGGGAGAGAGAGAGAGAGAGAGAGAGAGAGAGAGAGAGAGAGAGAGAGAATTTTTAATATTTATTTTTTAGTTCTCGGCAGATACAACATCTTTGTTGATATGTGGTGCTGAGGATCGAACCCGGGCCGCACACATGCCAGGCGAGCGTGCTACCGCTTGAGCCACATCCCCAGCCCTCTTTTACAATTTTTAAAAATTTATTTATTTAGCTTTAGAATCATAGAGTTTTATATTAGCATTATATCCTTAATGTGAATAGAACAGGCACATGGCAACAGTGAAAAACCACATGTGAAATCCAAATTCAAACTTTTCTCATGACCTTTTTCTTCTCTCTCTCTCTCTCTCTCTCTCTCTCTCTCTCTCTCTCTCTTTCTTTCTTTTTTTTTTTTTTGTACCTGGGATTGAACTCAGGGTCACTCTACCATTGAGCCATACCTCCCAGCCCTTTTTGTATTTTATTTAGAGACAAGGTCTCACTGAGTTGCTTAGCGCCCAGCTCAGTTGCTGAGGCTGGCTTTGAACTCTCAATTCTCCTGCCTCAGCCTCCCAAGATGCTGGGATTATAGGTATGTGCACCGTGCCAGGCTCTCTCATTACTTTTTTCTAAATTCAGTCAGGACAACAAAACATGAACACACACACACGTACAAATAAATATATGTTTATAATAAGTATATTTACATTTTTTATATATACAAAATATATAATAAATATATATAAAACAATGTCTTTTCAAGAATATAAATGACATAGGTAAAATCCTGAACTTCGTTCATTCCCTCTGGGGCACTGGTCCACATCAGTTTCTCCATTATGAGATACTTATGTCATCTGTGTGCAGCTTCTTGCATTATGGTCTTCTGGGCAGCACAGGACTGGTCTTGGTGGCTGTCCCCTGTCTGTGCCTCTGCGCTTTTCTCCCTGCCTTTGGCCACCAGATGGCATTCTGGAAACACTGTCACCACTGGAGTTTTCTGCATCCAAGTTCCCCTGCAGCATTCTCAGGGAGCCTCCCTCCCTCCTTGCTGCTCCCTTCCAACCCACTTTCCAAAGTGCAGTAGAAGTGGCTTTCCAGAAGGCAAAACTGCATGACCCTGAACAAGTTGCCCAACTCTCTGTGCTCAGCCTCTTCCACCTGACAACTTGGTTGTAAGGCTGGCATGAGAGGACATAAGTAAAGCACCCAGGACCCAGCCTGGCATATTGCTGCTGTTCTCATTATCCTGCTTTGAGCCTTCCAGCAGCTCCCCATGGCCTGTAGCACAAGTTTCAAATCTTTACCATGGAACCCTAAGTCTCCATCATCTGGACCTGTGCCTGTATCTCCAGCTCCACCTTCCCCTCTCCTCTCTACCACATGGACCCTACTGTGGTACACAGGAGCCAGTTGGCCCCTTTGGGGGTCAGCTCCCTCTGCCTGCTCTGCCTCTCCCCTGCCCACCCACCTTTCTCTGGCCAACTCCTCCATGTCCACCAGGAGTCAGCCAGCACTCTCCATGACCACCACCAGGCCCCAACCCAGAGCCATTGTACCAGCCTTTTCCATTCCCCACCACCAGCACCTTAGACCATAAGCCCCTTGTGGGTTGCTTATCTTGCTCACTGGCTGGCACACGATGGGATGAATGCAGGCCAGAAAGCAAGGCCATTCAGTGTCTCATTGTCAGTAGATGACCCACTGTGTCCCTGATCTCTGAAGGGCCACTTGACTCCCCTTTAGTGCAGCAGCTTGCCCAGGCCAAACTGAGAGAGACTTGGGAAACAGGATTCCTGGCCAAGGAAAAAAGGAAAAAAGTCAAAGGGAAAATGTAAGGCCACCTTCACCATTTGCATAGGAGGCATAAAACCTGGGAGATAACAAAAGGTACAGTCATAGTCCACTGTGTGCTGTGTGCCAGGTCCTGTGCTGAGCTCGTCATGTGTATGGTCTTCTTAATCCTTACCATCAACTCACGAGATGGGTGACAGTCACACTCTCAGAGAAGGAAATGAACCAAGGCTCTGAGAGGTCACCTATGCAATGTCTCAGAGCTTACAAGGGCCTGTCAGTCCCTGTCATGCCATAGGAAATGACCCCATGGATTCAGGACCCCTGCTATGATAAATGAGTTTTAGTGAGATGATGGGGAAGCCTTCAGGAGTGGATACAGGGAAAGGGAAGAAGTGCAGATGGCTGTCCATCAGCCACCCAATCCTGACAGCCATGGGCCTCCATGCTGACAAACCAACAAGCCCTGGCTTCTATCACTGTCCAAATGGGGCATCTCTGGCTCCAAGGACTTAGTTGCAAACATTTATCTAGGGGCACTGGCCTTAAGTCACATCACCTCAAATGCTTTACAAACCCCTAGAATCAATCTTGAGGTAGGGTGTAAGGCAAGGAGAATATTAGGGACAACCTATTGAGTGAGAAGTTAACAAGCCCATCCCAAGGGCCACCCAAACAAACTGCTCACGTCTTTCTTCTTGTACTTCACCTCTTGAGGTAAATGGGAGAGAGGACACCTTTTAACATGTCTAGAGGCCATTGGGGGAAGCAATGGAGTTGTTGTTTATGGGACTTTGTCATAAACAGAAAGGGGGAGAGAAGAATAGGAGGAAGGGAGGGGAAAGACCCACATGAAAGAGAGAGGAAGGTGTGGGAGAGGGAGACATAAAAGTCTGAGACAGGGAACGGAGGCTGGGGGTTCCCCAGACAGGGACTTAGGCTGGACCAGATGCAGAGAACAATGGACCGCAAGGATGGGGCCGGAAGGGAAGGGGGAGGAAAGTTACACAGTAAGGGCACACAGGTCCTCAGGGCTTCAGGAGCCAAAGCTATGGGAGTCCTCAAAGGTCAGTGTGAGCAAGGACTGGCCCAGGACCAGGGCAAGAGCCAGAGGCAGCCACAGGGTGAGACAAGTTATGCAGATTACAACCTTCTCCCCAGCAATAACTTGCTTGTCATGGCTTGTGATTTAGGGACAGACCCAGGCCTAGGCCCTCATATATCATTTCATTTGAGCTTCACAATTTCCTGCTCAGAGGACTCCTCTTCTTATCCCCACTCCCACTCCAAAGCCCAGAGAGTTTAAATGACTTGTCCCAGATGATCCAGCCGGTAAATTGCAAAGTTCATACTTGAACCCAGGCTGTTTAGTTCTGATGGCTGCCCTGTGCATCACAATTGCATCCTCGTGAGACACACGAGAGATCTGGGCTGGTTCAAGAATGAGAAGTAAACAAACGTAGGAAAAAGAAAGAAGCGGAAGGAGGAATGATGGGGAATGAGGAACGGAGGAGAGACAGTGAGCATGAACTATCCAGGAGGGGCATCAGTCGGCAGGCAGCAGGCGGGGCTCGGGGCTCAAGTTCTCTGCTCACTTGGCCACGCAGGGGCCCCCTGACCCTCAGCAGGGCTCGTCTTGCTGTGCGGATAGCATCTTCCCATCCGGCCTGTCCCTGGGAGCCCCGGCCTCATCCTCCTCAGTGGCAGGCCACTCAGCTTCACAGGAAATGCTCTTTCTCTAATTGGCATTGAAATCCACAGCCCTCCCTTTTCCTGTAGGTGGGGTTTCCATAGGAAAAATCTGCTTCTCTGTTTCCCTAGCCTAGTTACTGTTTGGAAGTCTGCTCCCCACATCCTGCTTTACTGGGTCAAGTCCCTCTTAGAGCACTCTTGTCCATGGTTGCTGAAGTGGACCAACTGCTACTGCTGTGGGCTCTCCCTTGGCAATTTTACTTCATCTGTGCTTAGACCTCTCAGACTGCTTCCAATGAAAATGACCTTGCCTGAAAATCCTGCTTGTTCCATCGTCTTCTAATTATGGGACGAGGCTGTGCCAGCACATCTGGGGGCAGGAGAACGGGGCTCATCGAGCCACCCAGAAAACACTGGAGGACCTGTCCAGCCTTTGAAGAGCTCTAGCGGCCTCTGACCCTAGCCCACTCTGGGGGTAAGCATGATGCCACTTCTGCAACTTCTGCTGGGGCTTTTCGGGCCAGGTGGCTACTTGTTCCTTTCAGGGGATTGTCAGGAGGTAGCCACTCTCACAGTGAAATACCAAGTGACAGAGGAGGTGCCACCTGGTACAGTGATAGGGAAGCTGTCCCGGGAACTGGGCCGGGAGGAGAGGCACGGGCAGACAGGGGCTGCCTTCCAGGTCTTGCAACTGCCCCAGGCGCTCCCCATTCAGGTGGACGCTGAGGATGGCTTGCTCAGCACTGGGAGGCGGCTAGATCGAGAACAGCTGTGCCGGCAGCGGGATCCCTGCCTGGTTTCCTTTGATGTGTTTGCCACAGGGGATCTAACTCTGATCCACGTGGAGATCCAAGTGCTGGACATCAATGACCACCAGCCACAGTTTCCCAAAGGAGAGCAGGAGCTGGAAATCTCTGAGAGTGCCTCTCTGCACACACGAATCCCCCTGGACAGAGCTCTTGATCCAGACACTGGCCCTAACACGCTGTACTCTTATACTCTGTCTCCCAGTGAGCACTTTGCCCTGGATGTCATCATGGGGCCTGATGAGACCAAACATGCCGAACTTGTGGTGGTGAAGGAGCTGGACCGGGAAGTCCACTCGTTTTTTGATCTGGTTTTAACTGCCTATGACAGTGGGAACCCTCCCAAGTCAGGCACCAGCTTAGTCAAGGTCAATGTCCTAGACTCCAATGACAATAGCCCTGTTTTTGCTGAGAGTTCACTGGCATTAGAAATCCGTGAAGATGCTGCCCCTGGCACCCTCCTCATAAACCTGACCGCCACGGACCCTGACCAAGGCCCCAATGGGGAGGTAGAGTTCTTCCTCGGCAAGCATGTGCCTCTAGAGGTACTACACACCTTCAGTGTTGATGCCAAGACAGGCCAGGTCATTCTGCGCCGACCCCTGGACTATGAGAAGAATCCTGCCTATGAGGTAGATGTCCAGGCAAGGGATCTGGGTCCAAATCCCATTCCAGCCCACTGCAAAGTTCTTATTAAGGTCCTGGATGTCAATGACAATGCTCCC